GTCATCCACTTCATTTCTGTTGTTGTTGGTCAAAGTCCTGGTCAAGTGTTTGCTGTGAACGAGGAGGTGTGGAGTGGAACGCCCCGATGTAAGTTTGGTCGCGCCATCCACGTGTGCTCTCTCTGCCTCCGGTCTTCTTGACACTGTCTTGACACCGGGTCCAGGTAGTGAGGATAAAGGAGTGCGGTAAATGCTGAGCACGTCCCCTTTCTTTAAAAAATAATTCAAGCGCAAGTCACTGCGACCGCTTCATCTTGCTGTGGAGCCCACGGTGGGCATTGTCGTATGTGATCTTCAAACTATAATCGATAGAAATTACGCTTCACGAAATGCAGCAATGCATTCGATAGTAATTAACTTGTAATAATAATGATTAGTATTATTATTTTATTTAATGCCAGTTTACTGGCACTGTCAAGGGAAGCGTTAGACACAAATCCGACTAGCAGTGAAAAAAAATTCCTGTGGAAAAATAATAAAAATATAGTTGATGGTGGTTTTTACGGTTTGGGGGGTTCAGGAGAAAAAAATGATGGCGGCAGACTTTCGACCGTCAAGAAGAGGGGGGGGGGGGGTTTGCACGCTATCGGAGATTATCGGACGTCAATTCCTTTCATGAAGTTGGGGATAGTCAAAGTAGGAGCGTCGAGGAACAGCTGTCGCTGTTGGCCAACGAAACTGTCCACGGTGAGACCGGCCATAGTATTCAGAGACCTCAAACGCCATCGCTACGGTAGAATCGATCAGTGGATTCAGCACCCAAATTTGTGGGAGCTTATCTGAATGCAAAAATCGCGTAATAGTTCTCTTAAATTAAGAACAATTTTGCAGGTGTTTCACACTCATGGGTAGTTTATTCCAAATAGCAATTGCATTCACAGAAAAGAACCGACGATATTTAACAGTACGTGCAGAGGAAGAAATAAAAAGACCTCACAGTGTCTGTTACGTCGTGGGTGGATATGATGTCTTAAAGAGGTGAGTGGGTTAAATGTGTGATTATATAAGCGTATAAATAGCAAAAATAGTCCCTATTGTAATCTACAGAACCATAAAGGATCAAGGCCCGTAAGTCGGCAGCGTTCTTGGTAAGACAAATGTCGGCGTTCTGGGGTTTAAACTCTCTTGGTAAAAATGTGTTGAACGGATTCTATTTTCTTCTGCTCAGTAGCACGCATGAGGCTAAACAAAAGCGAACAGTATTCCAGACCAGGTCTAACGTACATGTTGAAAAGGCGCATTCTAATTCCCCTAGTTTTAAAGTTTCGGAGGATAAACCCGGTCGTTCTACGTGCTTCGGAGACTATCAAGGCACAGTGCTCCGAGAGATTTAGACTCTTGGAGTATGATACGCCCAGATCCTTAATAACCCCAGGCACATTTATGGCGTGACCTTCAATACTTAGTTGAGGATGGCGGTCGTCGCCAACCACCATGTCTGAGCACTTATGCCAAGAAAGAGAAAGGCGCCATGTGCAGCACCACTGGGCGAAAACCTGTAGATCGCTCTTTAGGAGCTCAAGCACGATGTCATAATCTGCCGACTTATATGGATATGCAACTTTAAGATCATTGGCATACATGAAAGGCTTACCATTCTGAAATAAATCAGGTACATCATTAACGAAAATGCAAAATAAAAGCGGGCCGAGTACACTATCCTGCGTGACTCCACTCCTCACACGTGTGGGGTTGGAGATAGTATTGGAAATCTTAACTCGCTGTGTATGAGTGCCCAGGTAAGAGGGTATAAAATTCAAAAGTTTGCCACCTATTCCGAAAGAGGACAGTTTCAAGAGAAGAAGAGCGTGGTCAACTGTATCAAAAGCCTTAGTGAAATTGAAATATACTGTGTAAAGTGCAAAACCATTGTCCCTAGATTGGAGAATATAGCCAAAGAAAGAGAGTTGACAGGTGTCACAATATCGAGCGCGTTCATGCCCTGTAATGCAAATTATGCCAGGGTCATAGATTTCCACAAATACCCTAAGTTGGGATATTTTATGGAATATCGATCTAGCATTACTTAGAGCAATTCCTAAGACACAAGAAATGGAGGAGACAGGCTGTGTTGAAAGAAAATTGTTTCCCAAAGTATTTTGGTCGTCTGATTACTAAAAGACGGGAACTGCGTGATTGATGGGAAGCTCTTTAACAGGTAGGGTTGGCTTTTGGTTAATGGGTTAGAACTCACTTAGGACGGAAGGCTGACTAGGTGGCCATTTTGTCTCAATGGGGCTTCGCTTAGGAAGGTTTTGAGGCCTAGGTAGTTGATTAGGTCGCCATTATGTGCTACGATAGGTGAAAGTTTTGGAATGCTTTGGTCTACTGCTGCTGCTGCTACTACTACTACTACTACTACTACTACTACTACTACTACTACTACATCATGCTGAAGGAATTTGAAGAGTTAAAGTGTTAGTATAAGGACGTATTCGTTTCAGTAGTCTTTGTCGATGAGAATTTGGAGTACACATAGTGTTTTGGTCCTTATATTTTGAAGCTCAACTGTGACTGTGTAATGAATAATGGTTTTTGGACAAAGGGGCTAACCGGGTTTCTTTGTCGACTTGTAGGTCTTGGCATTTACATAGTAGAATTTTTGTATGCTGTTTAACGAGCCTCTGGCGTTTGTGGTTGCTCGTTCTAGAGCATTCTTGTAGAAATTACATTACTATCAAATGGTGTAGTTGATTAAGTTGCCATTATGTGCTACGATAGGTGAGAGATCAGAGTGCTTTGGTCTATTACTGCGTTGTGCTGATGGTGTGACGTGACTGGATTCGGAATTTTCGTACTCATTTTGTTCCGGTGGGCATTTGCGTATTGAAGTGCTGGTTTTGTCACTTTTCGATCATCTCTCCTAGCGGCTTCTGCAGGTCTACGTTGTTTATTATAAGTGCCGGAGCAAGAGACACTCCTGAAAGGTTCACGTGTGGAAGCAGAATACTGCTTTTTTACACCCATTGTCTCTGTTTTTACGTTTACGTCTTTGCATTGGTATGATTTTAGGTTACAAAGACTTTTGTTTTATTCATGAATATTTTTTGCTAGTTCAGCTTTGGTCCGTGTATAGGAGGTTACTAAAACTGTTAAATTTTACTTAGTGAGTTAAATTTTTGGTAAAAACCGCGAGGGGCTTAAAGCCACACGAGTGAATAAGTTGTTTAATGTTGGACAAATTGTGTGAGGTACATTGCGGATAATGCTACTACACCTACGTTTTGCTCTATCAGGGACTTTTAATGACAACCTGTATGATCAATTCTATTTGTGATATGTTTAGTAAGTTGTTTGAAAATGTATTCGAATCCAATAATTAGTCGTAAATCGTAAATAAATGCTGTTACCTCACAATATAATTCTACAAACGTGATATGACTGGGAGATCTAGTTTATTGACAGTAACTTTGGCATCAGTTATAGTTTCTGGTATGGAAATATATAAGGGCTAAGACGTTACGCTCGAACCATGTAAGAGCTCGGGTATAGTTGAACACCAGTTACAAAATTAGATAATAAATAGAAAATAAGTAATACCTAGTTTTACCTAACTTGGAAATGAAGATTTCGAACGATTGTGCACAATCGGGCTGATATAACCTGTCCTACTAATGCACCTTGGCGAGATTATTAGTTTGGATTATTTTGGCTTTGCTTTGGTCCTAGGCACTGATAATTCACCTCCGACTTCTTAGTGGTTAGATTCCCTCGATTTTCGCCCCGATGCTCCATGCGGTCGTTTCTCTCTCTCTCTCTATCACCCTTTTTACTACCTCCTATATAAACAAACTTCACCGGCCTTCTGTCGTTAGGGCTTCATCTGAGTTGCCCGTTGCCTAGTTTTATCTGTCGGTTAGTTTTCCTGTTGCGTTTTGTGGGTTTGCGAATATCATACTTGGGGTACTGGAGAATATTCACGACTTTTTAATCCGCTGGTACTGAAACAATTACCAGCTTGTCACCGGTCAAGCCCCCATACATGTGTCGAGGGAGTAGGGGTGTCCAGTGGTGGGTCCACGCGACGGTCGTAGTAGGTCGCTCGCTTGCTTGCAGGTGTAGACTACGCCTGGCGTCCATTTGCTGGTACCCAACTCTCAAATGTGGCTCCCCAATGTTAGACTCTGCCTTGCGGCCACGCCCCAGTAACTATCCGAACCGGCTGGCTAAACCAGCCGTGTGTGCACCTCCGCACACGGTAATCTCGGCTCCGCTGGCCGGCATTGACACCTCCGTGATGAGGCTCCATTTGGAACACCGTAGGAGGGCACAAGGTAAGTGAGCCCTCAGGTAAGCGAACGTTGCTCTGCTGTCTTTGCTTTTGCTTGTTTTTGCCTGATTGCTTACTGTCTGCTTATATGTGTTTGTCCTTGTTAAAGACTAAATGCCGTTCTGTTGAATTTCCTGAATTGCCTTTGCTTTTTGGTATTCTTGCCTGCTTGCTTTTTGTCCGCTTGCTTGTGCCTGTCCTTATTGTGAGCTAAATGCCGTTCCGTTAGATTCGTCTGCTCACCGCTCATATTTCAGCAGCCAGTTAGCTTAGAGAGAGACATGAAAGCTCTGCAGCACGTCTTTCTACCCTTGCCTCATCCCCCTTTCAAGTTTACGGCAATGTCGTAGGTAGTATTATCAGGCTAACTCGAGTCGCTCTCCCGCTAAACAAAAGTCGTGGCCCATATGGAGTTCAACAGCCGCCCGGGACAAATGAGCAATCTTATTTAGGGAGGACACTGCTCACGTCCGCGAGGGCAGAGGGGCTAGAACAGGCGCCCTGAACAAATGGTGAGGACCCACGCCGTTTGCAGGCTGACCGTGGCCGCAGACGCAAAACCCACGGTCGAAACAACCAAACCAGAAAAAAACATTCTCTCTCTATCTCTTTCCCTCCTCCTCTCCGCCGCCCCACTCGCCAGACTGGTAGGGTGAGTCCGCTCACACTGGCAGCCTGGGATGTTCGTTGCCTTTTAGACAATCAGAGGAACAACCAACCACAACAGAGGATGACGCTAGTGGCTAAGGAACTGGCGCGATATAAGGTGGACATCGTTGCACTCAGCGAGACCCGCTTCTCCGAACAAGGCCAACTGAAGGAGGTGGATGCCGACTACACTTTCTTCTGGAGCGGTCGCCCCAGCGCAGACCGACGGGACGCGGACATGGCTTTTAACATCCGGAATGACATCGTGGGATTACTGCCCTGTCTGCCGCAGGGCACCAACGATCGCCTGGTGAGCCTCCCTCTGCATCTCCAGGGAGGCAACTTCACCACAATCGTCAGCGTTTACGTCCCGCCGATGACCAGCCCTGAGGAGACGAGGAACAAATCCTATGAGGAACTGCACGCCCTCCTAACGCTTGAGTCGAAGGCGAACAAGTTGACTGTTTATGGTGACTTCAACAACAGCGTCGACAAAAACCGTGCTGCCTGGAGAGGAGTGCTGGGTCCGCATGGTCTCGATGGTGTCAACGACAATGGGCTGCTCTTTCTACGAACCTGCGCAGAACACCGCCTCATCCTGACAAACACATTCTTCTGTCTGCCGGAGCGAGAGGAGGCCACCTGGATGCACCCTCGGTCGCGACACGGGCACCTGCTGGACTTTTTCCTCTTCCGGAGGCGAGACAAGCGGGACGTGCTGGTGACAAAGGCGATTCCGGGTGCTGACGGGCGGACCGACCATCGCATCGTCATCTCGAAGATGCGTATTCGCCTACAGCCTCGCAGGAGACCACAAGGTAAGCGACTCCCAGGTAAGCTGAATATTGCTCTGTTATGTTTGCTTATTCACCATCTCAGTTTCAGAAACGAGCTAGTTCAGCGGCTAGCTAGCTTTCCAGTCGCCGTCGCAGCCGCCGCCATCGAGGAGAACGCCTCCGTGGAGAACCGATGGTGCCAACTCCGGGACACAGTCCAGTCGACGGCCCTGACTGTCCTCGGTCGCGCACGCTGCCACAATCAGGACTGGTTCGATGAAAACGACGCCGTCATCAGTAGCTTACTTGCTGAGAAGAACCGACTGCACAAAGCCTAGGACATCTGCCCTACCGATGACAAAAAGCAGCCTACTACCGTAGTCGCTGCCTTGTGCAACAGCGACTGCGGGAAATGCAAAACGCGTGGGTGGCTAGCAAGGCCGAGGAGATCCAAAGGTACACCGACCGCAATGAATGGAAGAATTTCTTCTCTGCGATTAAGACTGCCTACAGTCCGCCAGCCAAAGAAGCTGCACCTTTTCCCGGCACCGACGGTAGTACCCTACACACCGCGGTGACAAAGCCCACAGCGATAGGTCGAGCACTTCAGAGGCGTCCTCAACCGCTCCTTCACCATCTCTGACGCCGCCATGGTCCGTCTGTCTCGAGACCAACGTCGACCTCCACTTCTCCCTCTCTCGAAACTATTAAGGCCGTGCAGCAGCTCTCCAGCGGATCGGACGCGATCCCCGCTGACATTTGCAAGCCCGGTTGCCCCAAAGCATGGATAATCTGACAGCACTCTTCGAGGAGGTGTGGTGTTAATGAGAAGTCCCGCAGGATTTCAAGGACGCCACAATCGTGAACCTATACAAACGGAAAGGGAACCGCCACGTCTGCGACAACAACCGAGACATCTCCCTGCTGAACATCGCTGGGAAGATCTTCGTTCGCATTCTTCTCAACCGCCTGAGCAACCATCTGGAACAAGGTCTCCTGTCTGAAAGCCAGCGCGGCTTCCGTCGTCATCGCAGAACCACCGACACGAGCTTTTCCGCCCGTCAACTGCAGGAGAAGTGTCGGGAGATTCGGACCCACCTGTACTCTACTTTCGTGGATCTGACGAAAACCTTCGGCACGGTGAATAATGAAGGACTGTGGAAAATCATCCAGAAATTCGACTGTCCCGAGCAATTCACTCAGATGGTGCGTCAGCTCCACAATGGCATGATGGAGCGAGTAATGGACAGTGGAGCTGTCTCAGAGGCATTCGCAGTGACCCACCGAATGAAACAGGGCTGCGTACTCGCGCCCACCCTCTTCAGTCTCATGTTATCTGCAATGTTGATGGACGCCTACCGTGACGAACACCCGGGGATCCGCGTCGCCTACAGGACGGACGGTCACCTCCTCAATCAGCGACGAATGCACTTCCAGTCATACATCCACGATTGGACGCAGCGCCAGCCCCTGTTTGTGAATTTTTGGAAGGCAGTACATTCTGGGTATTATTGTGACTACACGTCTGAGTCGTCCAAACTTCCTGTCAAGAGCGGATCAGCGGATTAGATATGCACGATCCGAGCTGGCAATGCCTCTTTAGGTTAAATAAACGACGACTACCTGCACGTAAACATCGTACGATTTCTGTAGTTCTGAATATCAGGTCCAGGTTACTAGCCCAACAGATGCATCGCATAGGACCCGAGTCAACGCGTCAGCAGTGCTTGTGTCACGAAAACAATTTAGAGTACTGAGGGCTTAGACCTAGGCTGGACCGATGTCTGAAAGTGAGAAGATAAAGTCTTATTCAAGTAAAAATATATCTGTTAGGTGAAGGTCACTTGGTCTCGAATGAGGGTGGCTATGCGCACGTAGACTTCATCTGCTCTCGTTTCAGGTTTGCAGATGGTTTCGTGATCAGCAGCAATTTGGACGACTTCAGAGTATCCTTCATCTGAAACAAAAAATGCATGCGTTATTCCCACGAGAAGAAATTTATCCATCTAAAGCTTCTGAATGAAATACAGCTTTCCACTTCTTTGACACGCAGTTAAAGGACTTGCATCAGCCGCATCCTACTGACTCCACAACTCGTAGGCACCCTTCTGCTAGTAGCATAGGTTCGCTGTTCTATTAGAAGGCAAAAATGTGCCAGCGGTATGCATATATGTCTCGAATTCTCAAATACAACGGAAATTTCGGTGAGAACACAAGTTTTACCACAAATTTACAGGATTGACTTTACAACAAGAATCCCTATTCATTCACCAGCTGGGAAGAGTTCACGAATCTGGGCCCTAGAAAACTGCATCAAACGATGGAGAGGTGACTTACCCCGTGGGTCGTATGGTACAATGATCATTCCTGGTAGGAGTGGAGAAAACCTCAACTTCTTCGTTTCAACCATGTTAACTATTCGTATCGGTCGCTGAGAGGCCCAGATTGTGAACCAAGCATGCAGACTCACAATTGATGGGTTGTCTGGTGTAGGTGAATGCACATAAAAATAGTATTATGAACTTTCTCATGACAGAAGAACTTTGTATAGGCGAAAAGTACAAAGGCACCCTAACGACCGATAGGCCACCTGGAAACACCTCGGCTTCTTCGTACTTTCGAGTCGCGTCATTGTTGGTAGGGGAAAACTGAGGGGCGCGAGCAGATCGTTTGCTACGGAACTGTTTTGGATTGTGTTTTAGCCACTGACTGCTTGGAGTCCATGCGTGTGCATATTGATGGGGGCAGATAACTGCGATAGAACCCATGCTCCGGACATCTTGGTTCCTCAGACATTCCCTGTGCCGAATGAGCTGCAGTGACGTGGCATATGCGCGGACACCTGGGTTTTGAGGTTTCAGGTTCTGGACAGGGACTTGAGCTGCTGAAGAGGGCACCAACAAAGTGGAGATGGGATGTCGTCTGCCTGCTCACCTTGCGGTCTAATGGCTGGGCGCCTGCCGTTGACACCTTTCATTAGATACCAGAGACCATTTCCACAAACAGACTGGTGTAGACGAAAATAGGCATTCGGTGTGATATATGAGGTTCTTTTCGCAATAAGTAGGTCCCTGGAAATTTCTAACTAAAGCATGACTTCTATTTGCAACCTATTAAGTAGGCCATTTGGCCTTCTTCCTTTTTCAAATAGAAGTCAGAACCATAGGAAAAAACCTACAGAGTAAATTGATTTTTTACCGCAGCAAGGCGGCCAACGCATAGCGATAAGTCTTCCGCATACATATAAAGCAAGCAATATAAAGCAAGCAGCGTTTCCCAACCCCCTAAGTATTCCATGTCATCACCAAATTTCAATGTGCTCCTACATGTTTGGAAGTCGTTCATCGATCGGGTTATGAGGCACGCCTGTCCCCTCGTACGTGCGGGCTCGATCTAGAGCCCCGCGGGTAGCCGCACAGCGGTTGGCTTTGTAGACAGCGTGAGATTACCGACGAAGACAAGGCTGACAGGTATGGCCATTTCTGGTCTGTTAACCACCATCAGCCTGCCATGCCCCAGGCGGGACTTGGGCGCACATGCGAAGCTCTAAATTAAGCCTCAAACCACAACGGAACAAACTTCTCCCGTAAGCCGATCGGCGAAAACACTTCCAGCATGGTTAATATTCACCATCGCAACCGACAGGACAACCAATCCGTGGCTCAGTGGTTAGAGCGTTGGTACATGGGTCCGAAGCCCAGGCGCCCCCAAACCGAGATTTAGGTAGGGCTGGTTGGCCTCCCATTGTGCTTGGCGGTAATCTTAATGTACTTCTATATTTTCCATACAAGCCGTTGCTAACTTATAAACCGTAGAGTTTTTCCGCAAATTATTCATATGGAAAGTGCAAAATTGATTGGAACAATTGGAACAGGATTCCCACTAATTAAACTTGTCATAGTCAGGAAACAAATCGATTAGTATTATTTTGTGATGTTCCGGTCGGTGAAAAGAACAAGTCCACGCAAATTTGGAATTTTCACACTGGGTCGAAGTTGTACAGCCGACTTCTCAAAGTTCAGCTGACAGTTCTACCATCGGCCACTATAGTAGTCACGGTCACCAAGGACGAAAAAATATTGCAGCTTGGATGTACACCGATGTTAAACTTGAGTACTTTACTTATCTCCCTTAGAATCATAGCAGTGTTGGGCGTGACAAAATATTTCAAACGCAGTGAGTGCAACCATTACCTTTCCGAAGGTCAAGAGCTTCAGGTGTCAGCTTAGTGATCATCGGGTATAAATAATAATGATTCAGGTTCACTCCACCGCGATGAGGAACGCTCAGGAAAATGATTAGGCTGGACTTCTTCGCCACTTCTGCGACCTCAGGAAACACATGAACGACCTTAGCGGGTGACGCTGTTTGGTTCTCTGACTCGCAGTTATCGCAGAAGGCAAATGAATTAAAGGGAATGGAAATTTCTTCCGAGAGCTCCAAGGGTACAATTGGATCCGTATTCTTTGTCCAGTCAGCAAAGTGCGTGGCGGATATTCGCAAGATTTCCTTGTTTAATATGCCTAGGACAGTGCGATACAAAGGAGAAAAAGCATATTTTATAGCTGTAAATTTAAAAAAGGGAGTCCTCATTTTGAGTTAACTAAAATTGCAACGAGAGTGCCGCATCACGCCACTTAGATGGAGGGGAAAACAAAATGCAAGTTCAAATCAATGTAGACAAAAGTCACTGGAATATTATAATCAGTTTGTTGTATCTTACTTTTTTCATTTCTCTTCATAAAGGTAATTAAATGTCCCAGTTTGCAGAGCTCAACGATCAGTGTAGCGGACTGCAAACTACGGAATAGTGAAACTTTCTATCCACTGATAGGATATGTCGTAATTCGTAATTCTACTATTCAGCTATTACTTTTTTAAAAAAAGGCATGAGACATAGGGAAGCTTGCACCATCACAGTGAAACGCAGTTAAAGCTCCATGTGCTCAATCGTTGAGCTATGGTGGGTGCGATCTATCGTCTCTCCCTTATCCCTAACTAGCAAGCTGGACCTAATGGAAGCTGAGCAACTTCTCGTTGGTTCATCTTACAACACGTCAGAAAACGCAGCTGAGACCAAAAACCTAGCTACCATTAGATTATAGTAAGGTTTACATACGTAGTCCTGAAGAAACGGACAGGCAAACAACCTGCATGCCGAAATGGGCCGTTGTCCTGTATAACTGACCAGATATGATTCAGACAGAGAGACAGCAGAGGAGTCAAATTTAAAGACTTTATCTGAGTTTATAGATAACTTTTGATAGGACCGATGAATGTAGAATGACAAAAGAGGGGACAGATACCGCGTGACTCCATCCAGAGCCGGGGTGGGACAGGAACGTTACCACCGAAAGGAATACGCTGTCTTACTAAAATGGATTTATCTGAAAGCTATCAGCAGAGACTACACTTGAAAAGCACACAAAGGTGCCGAAAAGGGTACCTTTTGAGGTAAGATTATAGTTGGTAGCCGTTCCCACAGACTCCACAATGGTACCTACTGGATCGATTTCAGTAGCTGTGATTGCGTTCTCATTATGCTTCTAAATTCACGCGCACGCTCTATTACCTGTATAAGATTCATTTTAGTGGTACTATCCTGGGGAGATTTGCACCGGTAACGATGACAATGAGGCTTGCCCTATGTCAAATTTCATTAGAATAGGGAGTTGGCAACCGTGCCCACATAATCCACAATTATACCTACTGGCTTGATTTCAGTAGCTATGATTACGTCCTCATTATGCTTCTAAATTTGCATGCGTGCTGTATTACCTGTTCCAGATTCATTGTGGAGGTACTATCCTGGGCACCGGTAACGGTGCCAATGAGGCTTTCCCTACATCAACTTTCATAAGAAGAGGTAGCTCTTGACTGCCTCATTCATTGAAGAGATACTATCTCGGGCGGATTGGCACCGGTAACGATGCTAATGAGGCTAACCTTTTATCAACTTTCATTAGCAGAGGTAGCTTTCGACTGCCTCATTATTTGCGGATTTCCTCTTCCGCCCAAACCAATTTTTCGCATAAAAGTCTTACCCGACTTGCGTTGTGGCATTCCGCGTGCCGCTGCTTGACTCTCGTGTCCTTCTGTCCATTTTATTGGATGGAGTTCTATCGCTTACACTGAAGAATGACCTTTGGACCAGTTGCCTTCTTCCCACTGGTTGTTCGCATTCACTTGCTTTTCATTTCAATCTGAGGCTAGGATGCATTTATTCCACACACCCTTCAAAGTCTCCTTGCTCATTGCCATACCTTCCTTGTATTTTTCACCTAATCTAAATTAGGCTTCCACTTTACCAGGAGCGCCAATTCCTAGCATATACTACAATCGCCAATTACCCGTCCACTCAATTGTCCCACCCGTATAGCCCCTATTACCACCGGTCCCGATTGACAGGCAGCTATGAGTTTGCGGTGTCAGGAGGGCTACCAACTATCATCTAACCCCTTTTGAGTTACACACTGCTAGAAGGTCGGTATAACCTCAAACATACTGAGGTAATTTCGGCTCTCCAACAGCGACCCCTTTTCTGAAGACCTTTCTGAGCTTTGATGATTCTGTTCGTTTTTGGACGTAATTTTGAAGTTATCAGTTCTAGTCGTCGGTGCCAGGAAAAAACAATTCGGTTTAGAGCACTGAAGAAGAAAATGGGAATCTTTTCTTTCCCTTTTCAGAGCCATCATAAAACACACGGGCAGTCTACGTCTAAGATTCGGATGTTCTTTGCTCAGTTTACCTCCATCGGGATCTGCTATCTTGACTCTACTTTGTGAAAGATATGAGAAAAGGGAAACTTGTGTGTCTTTGTACGATCTTCTACACTCTGCATGCGCAAAATCCTAGGCGCATATTGTTTGCATCGGATCCACCGTATTTTGGGGTCCAATGGCTCCGGCCCCTAAGTGCTCTCTTCCCCCTCCCATTTTTCGGTAAGTAACTGCATGCGCACGAACGGAAAACGACTTCAGGCCTCGGGCAGAGATCACAAAGAACGTACCATAGGTGTAGGTAGGATAACAAACAGACATAGACTTCCGGAATGTACCTTTTCATCTTTTTTCGACAATAAGCTAAGTCCCTCATGTTCGCTTTTATTCCTTTCAACAACCGATTCGATAGTCAGAATTTTTAATTTGATTCAAAACTCGGAGTCTTATATACCACGTACCTCCAGCCGAGTGGCTGACCCAGATGATCGGGCGGTCGCCCACACCAGCGACCAGAAGCTGACGCAAGATGATGCGTGCCCTTTGGTCGAGACTACGCCTGAAGCAGATGTTCGTGTAGAATATTATTACTAGGGAAGCCAAGCCTTTTGATTGAACCCAAGTGCCAAAGTAAGTGGTCCAGCAAAATCGTGAAAACTACATAACTTCGTGCATAAGAGTCGACATGTGTTCGGTTTGAGCCCACAATTGCATACTACTTACAAATTCTTAAAGTTAAGGAAACGTATAAATGATTTTTGCATGGTTCACATAGCCAGATATCTCATATGTTTTTTTTCATTTTGCGTCTATAAAAAAAGCGGACTTGTAATTATAAAAGTGGTTGTAATATTAAACAGTCGCTACTAAGAACTATTTCAGGGATCGTGTGCAGTAAGTACGCAAGCAAATTCCTCTAAAAATTTACGGATAACGTTTGTACGCAGTCGAGAGAAAATACAGATTAACGTAGGCAAGATCGGAGGCAACTGCATAAAGAATGATTACTGTCCAAATAACGTCACAAGACTTATTAGTTAGAATCAGGAGGACCAGTTGCAGATCTTAAACACTCCGTGTAGAGAACATAGATTTCTCTGAAGCAGTTTCACATCTTCATATATAAACAGGGAGTTGGTGCTGGCGGGTCAATCGTCACTTCGGAACAGAATGCGGGCAATTCCGTAACACCTGACCGTCCGTCGCCACGCGATCGCCTGCAACAATTCTAGGCCGGAGCGCCAAGGCAAAAGGTGAGTTATGCAATTTCCAGCCTGCAATCAGCAATGGTGGAGGGCAGTAATTTTCCGTGTTTTAATAGCCCAGCTTCTTGCAGACAAAGTGACGGACATGTGGCTCAGTAGTGGGCTGTTTGAGTTAATGTCGTTGTAAGGGTGAGACTGGTTGACGATGGCAACGGAGTCGAACACCGTCATTTAAACCTCCCTTACGGGGATAGTAACACCTCTCGAGAAAATATATACTCTATTTGTCAGTAGTTTTGATAACCCCAAGCACCAAATTACGGGCTAGGCTCATAATGGAAGGATAGCTCGCATTTCGTCTATGTAATGTTCGAGTATAGTACGTGAATGTTTCGGTCATTCTGTAATATACAAGAGGGGAAGAGGGTCCGGTCAGCGCAATCCGTCTCTATATTTGACCGAACTATCGGACCTGTGGGCGGACAATCATTCAAGTCAGTTGAGATCGGCAACCCTCGTACATTCGTAAAACAGAGTCCCGTACTGACGTCAGAAATCAAAGAGTCGGGATCTGTAGCTGACCGCCAAAACGACACGCAACAATTTCGTCCGACGCATTGTTGTCTGAACGTCATGCACCTTCAGAGCGGACACTCACAAACGCCCTTACCTAACAGTCCGACTGCAACACAAACAAAAAAATGCAGCAATCGTCCATGATTGGCGTGCCTTAGTTCGGGCAAGCCAAAACACAAGGCCCTTGAAATCGCCCCTGCAAACCAGTAAAAGTAACAGACCACGCAGACTTTCTTCCACTCCCTCTCCCCGGCTGGTATTAACGCTGCCAACACATGCAATGGTCTCTCCAGGAGCCGCCGCTGCCTGAGACGGTAGCCAGTGGTTTCGCACAGGATAAATCCGTTATTCCTTGTATTTCATCTTCTCAGGTTAATCAAGATTTGGTCTGATGACAGTGAGAAATAAAACGCACACACACACAGCACGAGCTGCAACAAATGGAGGAGGCCGATGTGATCGAAATACAACTATCAGATGTGGCTGAGCTCAATCATAGTTAAGTTCCCGTTCGGCTTTATCCAGATGTTGGTCCTGTGTCACTTATCGTGCCCATGAATAGGAAAGCGCGGTCGCCACTACATTGTCGTAGATCGGCATAGACGTCATCAACACAAATCAACCATATAAGTTCAGGTCAAGACTCGAACGAAACTGTATAATACAGTCATCCGAATGGGATATCATCGGTACACAGGAGACTGGTCGTAATGCGACTGCCTGCGGGGGCTCTAGGCTGAGCTGCAAGACGTAACCAGCGGGCACGTTCTCTGCTGCTTTTTTTTAATTTTTTCGGGCATTTACGAGTGACCTTGGAGTAAATCCTCCAAAGGAAAGCTTCTCAGACTCGCTCCTAACAAGAACGATGGACGAATAACCAAATATAAGTAGGGCTTAATTACTCTATTGGTGGTAAGAAAAAAGTCGGGTAACGAAATATTCCAAAAGTCTATTGAAAGAGTCAATGAGTACGCGGCAAGCAAACGTCTCCCAAATAAATTCCGACCAGCAGTTAATTATATAACGCGAGTACCTACAGAAGTCGAGTTAAGCTCATCGATTCACGAAGATGGAAAGTGGGGAATAAGGAAGGACAGGAGGAGACAGTCAGTGTTGTCTAGTCAGCTGGGAGTGAGTAGTATGGATGAAGAGATTGTTGGGATGAGCAGTGTCGAGGGGCGAAGAGGCGCGGAAAATTACTTTGAGTAAGCTTTAAGACATGGCAACTGCAAGACCTGGGATTAATGTATCTAAAAATAATGAGGCCGGTACGTGCAAAACTATCAATCTACACCGCTACGGAAAAGGTTTTTCGGAGCAGTACCTCTTAATTTAAAGTTCTGCATCACTCGCGGACATGTTCATCCGTTAGAACTAGAAACCAGATTTAGGAATTTCTGGGACCAAACACATGATATGAAATTCGATTCCGCAGCCAAAATTCGACGCTCTAAGTCAACACTGGCTAATTTTAGTTAATTGTAGTCATACCAGAAGAATTTAGGTAGGCGATCAATGGAAAATACTGTCCAGACGAACTCAAGACACAAAAACTACACGCAAGTTCGTCGGATTTCGGATGCGCGAAACTCCTTTTACCATGAGATAGCGAAATGGTTAGCAGAGAAATTCAAATTCCTACAATGCTGGCTAGCTCATTTAGTTACCGGGATTTCCTCGAATTCGTCGATGATGCCAAGGTCTTTTGCCCAACCATAATGGTCATCATTAGGCCTTCTGATCTCATTAGGCATTTCGTTACTCTATAAACGAACCGGTCAACAAAACATTCGACTAACTCTGCGAATTCCCATCAGCCAATCATTGGGAAACGGGAATACCAATAAACATATTCGAGGCAATATAACATGATTGCATGTTAAACGCGTAGTTACTTTTTAACAACGATCTGCGTAAACAAGTAAACGGGCTTGCTATTAGGTGTCTCTTGGTCCTGTCCAAGTCAATTTATTCTTAGGGAAGCTGCTCTCCTAGACTTTGTAAATCAGGCGCATCCGCCTGAGGAGGACAGTGGTAGGTTTTCTCCTTTTCTGACGTGCTTTTAAGTAAAAGACTTGATGACGGTGTTCGGAAAAGCTCTCATAGGAAGAAACTCTGGCTGGGGCAATAAAACAACGTAAGATGTGGTTTGGTAGCCCCACCTGATGGACACAATACTGTTGCGGTTGGGGTTACGGGTTAGGCCTAGGGGGTAGGGTTAGGGGTATAGTTAGGGATTAGTGTTTAAGGTTTAGCGCAACTATTTCTCAAGTATTCAAAGTACAACCGCACATTCCCAATACCTTTCCTTTTGCATACAGGTACTTGCTCTCGTCGACTGTGCGTTCCCCGGCCCAACCTATAAAAACCTCTATTACCACCTGCCTCGTATTAGAGGTGACTGGGGTTTGTTTACTTCAGGTAGGGCTACATAATCATATCCGACCTAACTCAACTTTAGAGCTTTCGCACACTTTGGCTAGAAACGTTTGTTCGATAGGTGGTACTAAGTGAGAGTTTGGGAAGATCTAGAATTTACTTCGAAAGAACGGGTACCATGATCGATTTATTGTAGGGAAGATTACTAAAAGTCCGACAAAACCCACTGTACTGACGGCAGAGCAGAAAAGTATCTTTCGCAAAGTTACCTTTCGAAGAAACTGCTGAAAGAACACCTAAGGAGACGTCTCGGCCGAGCATTTTATGGACCATTCCAGCTGCTCAAGTCTAGTCATTGAACTTGACCAATGTCCTTCTACACCGCGCATTAACATGGGTGAGAAGGGGAGGAGTTATGAACCAAGGCCACGCTACCCCACACGCATGACTGATTTCGAACATCGTGTGAGCCCCAGGGAAGCCCGATGAAGAATTTACATGTCTCACCGAACTATGCGAAAAAATGAGGCCAGCGTAAACTAGCAACAGCAGAAACGTCCCCCCGTTAGATTACGTCCTGTGATCTTGCACGCGTAAATTAAAGTCATGCTGGCCCTGCGTTTACCATGGCCGAAAGCCAATTAATCGGCTAACTGAAGGCAATTTTTCAGGCCTTCCCTCAGACAAAGATGCTCACCCCGACTCTAGTTCCACTCACAGTACTCTTAGCTGGACGGCACTGAGTGTGTATACTTGTCCTCCTCTATTCCCACCATTCCACCTTCGTGAATCGGCAAACCTACCTAGATTTCTCTAATTACCTACACGACTTAATCGACCTTTTATTTATAAAAAATTACTGATCTGGTAGGAACTTATCCCAGGTGAGTGTATCCTTATCGCATACTTTTCTAATTACTAAAGTCGCATATCGGAAATATGTCGTTGTTGAGGTTCATGAGGGTTAGCTTAGTTAGCAATTCCGCTTTTAGGAAATATCGACTCTATTTCGTGATTATTTAATTTGAAGTCTCGACTTACACCCAACATGTGGTCTTCAGGTGTCTCCAGCAGTGTTTAGATATGTGATTTTCACGGTAGTCCGAGTCCTTGTGAAAAAATGTGCCTAGATGATTCTCGATATCGTGGGTGAACATGCCTGGACTGGTTTTCGCTCAGACTAACGAGATATTCGAGTTAATTTTCATTCCAAACTCCTTTGAAAAAACCGACCCTTTAAATCTTCTGTTATAATATTTTTTGACTGGTGCCATATATTCCACATGTTTATGTGTTCTTATGAGGGTGGACGAACTAAACGTCAGCTCGTCTGAGTATGCTCGTATATACTGCGCTTATGGGTTTATGTCTAAACACGTAACCGTCCTAACTTTCGGTCCTGTCCGAAGAATTACATAATTGCTCGCCGGAGGCAAATAAAAGTGATGTGCCATAATGCGTGGGTCGAATAAAGGCCGTCAAAAGTATTAAAAGAGTAAATTACATTAACTGATCGGCGAAGCAGATTTCATTCCAGACGAAGAACCGCAGATTGGCGTCGACACCAATAATCCTCGTGTTCGGAAACTCCTCACTAAGCCATTCCTGGTGAGGGAAACGCATGCATAATTAAGTCTGTATTTGGACGTGGATAGGTTGAGCGTTGAAAATGATTTTGTGGACAAGTAGCTGGATGAAATATGCCACAGTTAAAAGACCGGATTAGGCAAAACCATTTAGTAACCTTCGCAACATCACGGAGGAAAGCTAGTAAATATGTCCGACCCCGAGGATAAACCAACACAAGGGTAGAGATGCTTTCGTGTACTACTTTTAAGCCCAGTGTCCTTAGAGGGCAGAGTTATTCTGCAGCAGTGACGGTCGCTACCAGGAACTGGGAAGCGTACACATCCACCCAGCGATCTGTTTTCCTAAAGTCGCGAGCCTCCTGTGTTTTAAGTTTACCGTGCATTTCACTGGTGAAAAAATTCCTGCCAGTAGTCCCATTCCTAAAGTCTGCTTGTAAAATAGCACTTTCGTGTAAATTTTAATTCCAAGCAGTAACTTTACCACTTTTTCAGCAAAATTGTGATAGCAGACAGGTACACCGATAATGACGAGATAAAAATTATTATGATTTGGGATCGTTTGGCAGTTCTCAGCCAGCCAGAGTCGAGTCAGTTTTGCTGAATTCCAGCGTCCAGATACCTGCAAATTCGCCCGAAATAACTGTGTTGATCTTTCAGCTGTCGACAATATCCCTGTTCACTATCGCTCGCCTGTGGACTTATGACAACCTCCGAGGGCTCTGGCCGTGGCTGGGGGTAACATAGTCAAAACTGGGTAGGGGGCGTTAATCCTACAGTCTGGTCGGATCAACAGGCTCTTAATGGCTGAAGAACGTGAGCCCAGTTGTCTTTTCTGCCAAAAGATTATACAGACCTTCAATTACAAGAAAAATATAGCAATCAAACCAAACTTTTGGCCAGCAGACAGAAGGTCCCGCATGGATTCTCGAAGAATCGGAAGATTTGGGTACACGTTTACGCCAAGTATAAAAGACGCTGCCGTGCATCCCATTGATGAAGATCACATCAGCTTCGGGAGGCGGCGAGTCAATTCTTATTAGGAAAAAATATGTAAATTATAGTTATATAAGGAACTACGAAACAGGGGCACAGAAGAAATTAGATTAATCCCGCAAAAATTGACTTCAGAATATCAAAGGGAGGCGTTAACATTAATTGGCAGGCTACGACACCTTCTCATCCGCCAGAGTAGATGAGGAGGTGATAATGACTTACGCCTGATTACAGGGCTGTAGTTATTTAAACCGGCTGGAGAAGAGGTCGAACGTCGTAAATTACACGGACGTTGTCCAACAACTGACTTCCCAGAGGCGCTTTTGACTCGCACTTAAGATTTGATGTACATTGACCCAACTTTTGGGCCCTCGAAACAGAAATAATTAACGTCACTTCAAGGTTATGGGTGTGCCGCTGTTGAACAAGAGGAATCATGATCTTGAGAATCTTGGCCACTAAATCATTCTACTTTCTGAATATACAAAGACACCTTGCCTTTGAAGAAGACTTACTGGTTCGGGAAATCATGTGGACATCACTGTTCTGTGTAGGCATTCGTGTCTCCAAAATAAACCACGGGATAGATGTGTTAAACCGACAAGAGGGCTAGATGAAGGTTCGACGTGCGTTATATGGGCTGCGCGCTCATTAAAATACCATGAATGGGGGTGTGGTGGTACGCCTAGATGCCGGCTCACGCTGTGCCAGCCACCGGCACCCAGTACCCGCTTCAGCTGGCTAACCGGATGGGATAATGGACAGGTACCTGGGAGAGGGAAGAGGGAGAGCAGTCGACACTGCGAATCCCATTCCCACTGCGCTCAGTACATATTTCTCACTATAAACCACGCTTTGACACTATTACGATGCGCAAAAAGCCGTGGCTTGGATAGCTGATAACTGGCGGGATAGCCCGGTCACTTTTTTCAGGATGGAGATTCAGACTTCAATGGCTCCTTTTCAAAGTGACCTCTACCGGACTCCCGCTCAGTTAGGATCCAAGCCGCGCCTCTGCCTCGTTCGTGCGCAAACACAGTCCATAGTTCGCGGACCAGGCGTGTGTGGCATTCGTAGACGGGTTGGTTAGCTTTGACAGATACTGTGCCCGATCTCGCCTCCGGTCTTCTTGACTCTGTCTTGACAGCGAGTTCTGGCGGGTGACAAGGGAGAGAGTGCTATGGGCGCGGCGCAAGTCTACTATCACTAAAAACTAATTCGCGCGCGAGTCACTGTCCCTGCGTTCACCATACTATGGGGCACACTGAAATCGTCGGTAATGACAGTCGAATTTTCATGCAAGTATTCAGAACCCGGGTTTTCCTAGTGCAAATATCTCTTTCCTGCACCGACACATGAGCCTTTGGTTGTTGCATATCAAGGGGGCCGGCGATTCACTGGTTCCTGACTAGGCTGCATACAGCATGTATCAATTCGCAGGTAAGGATCTAATGCGTAGCAACACGTTTTTATTACTATGTACTTGGCCAATTATTTGATTTGGGTGGGCCTGTAATACTGCGAGTTAGAATCCAGTCAATAGGTATTCAGGTTACTGTACATGTTGCTGTTCAGCTTCTGAGATTGGGACAACGACCATGGGATTCTTGCTGGTGGGGTTGGAAATTGGCGAACAGGGCAAAGGTTTGGAGGAGGGGACCTAGGGGCACAGTCGTAGTACATTAGGGTTTTTCCGCCGTTCAGACGGTTCTGTGGCTGCTGTATTGCATTGTATTGCGTCCATGGATTTATGGCTGGGGTCTGGGATGAGTGTAGAATTAGAGTTATGGTACGTGCTAGGCTTGATTACAAAATAAGGGTTGGGGTCGATTATGGGTTAATGGTTGGCGTCAGTTTTAGAGTTAAGGTTCTGGTTGGTCTTAGTGTTAGAGTTGAGGTTAGTTTCGGAGTTGAGGCTGGGGCTTTTTTAGGGTCAGATTTGCGGTTACGGTTAATGATTTTGGTTTAAAATTACGGTTTAGCT